TACAAGGACAAAAATGATCTATGACCAAAAATGTAAACTGTAAAATGTTAGAGACATAAGTACTAACAAATGCAGTAGGAAAACAAGGCACTCAAAAGTACTGACGATAAACTACTTTTGACATAAAAATGATACTCTTATCGTAAACTTTGACTGAAATAAATTCGATTAAAGTGTCTTGAACTGCCGTTCGTGTGAAACCTCCGATGAGATGCGTGTATATTCTCAATACAATTAGCTTTTAAATAACTACAGCTGCCCAACTAAAAGTATTGATCCTACCAATCAGTAATTTCAAACCAAAGGTCGTCCCTATCTTACCGTTACGACTGTTGCAGCAAAATTGGAGCCGAAATTATGACCTTCAAACTTGACGGAATTGACAAACTATTTAGATTCAGATTTGTGTGGTAAGGACAGAGAACCCACGGCCTATGTTATTCCTTTTCTAGTATGCTTCTGTGAGTATCCAGTCTTCTCTTAAATGAGTCATTTGAAGGTGCAAACACCACTGCTTTTGTTAACAGGTTCCAAGTATTGATGACTCAGTGTGAAAACCTGTATGCCACTAGTATTTTGTTCGTTCTTGACTTTTCTACTCGCCTGCTATGTCCTCTGAGATGTCCCGATTCTTAATCTTTTAATTTTCATGTATAAATGTTCTCAGCAAGTATATGTGTGACCAGATTGTTCGAAATGCAAATATATTATATACTTCTGATAAACTTAGTTTTCTCATTGCATTACCAAACTTTCAGACTGGAAATAAGCTCAAATCCGGCTCGTGACTTATAAATAGGCTACTCTCGAGGCTGGGAAGTCTAGAAATTGCCTGACGTTTCATAAAATGGATCAAGGATTTCTTGGTAAAATCATGGAAAGTATTAAGAAAGTCCAAATGCTCATATTAGAAACCAGTACTCAATGGAGTGCTGCAAGGCTGTTTTATCTTTTTATTGTGTTGTTTTGTGTTTATATTCATGAAATAAGTATTGGTGAGTCTAGTGTGCTACAATAGACTGATGATGTGAAAATCTGGCAAAAAGGACTCGATGAATGTGTAGTGACTTACTTGTATCACGAGAACACGACTGGTTTAATGAAAACCATTAATATTATAACCAACTGCACCAGTGCTTGTTTTAATGTGCTTTTGTTTAACTGTGCTAATCACGGCCACTTTGTGCTTCCATTACCTTCCATCTTTGTTCCGCGGTTTTCGGCTTTGTTCGCACGTACTCCGTTCTCCTGTCTTCGCTTGTACCATTTCTTGGCACGATCTTGGTGTTCGTTCGATACCATCAGATTGTAGTGACTCAAATTTATCACGAGAACACGACTGGTTTAATAAAAACAATTATTATTATAACCAACTGTACCAGTGCTTGTTTTAATGTGCTTTTGTTCGACTGTGCTAATGACAGCTATATTGTGCTTCCATTCTTATTCTCACACTTTGATTGTGAATCGCGCGAATTCGGCTACGTATTGTAACCAAGCTTGTACCCTGGCACGATCTCGGTATCCTTTCGATGCCACGAGATCGCCAGCAAATATATCTCGACTTGGTCCATTAACTGTCTTCTGATATTTGGCTTCTCGAGGATTTTATGGATTTATTTGGTTACGTTCAACCTTCGCCTTCTGATTTACTTGACACGTGTTTCTTGGTAACAGTGTTCATAATCAATTTCAACTCAACTCCACGCTACAAGATCGCCAATTGAACAAACTTGATTCCAATCCGCCTTCTGATTTGTTTGGCACGTGTTTCTTGGTAGCGGTGTTCATAGTCAGCTGGGACTCGACGCCACGCCACAAATGTGTGCTTCAGACGGGTGTATACATTCTGGTTGGTTGGTCTAAAGAACGAATGACCCCCATCACGGCAGCAAGGTGTGTCCACATGTACCTCGCGGATACAGGAAGGTTTAGTGCCTGTAGTCCTGTCTCACAAGGATCTAGGCGTAACCGTGAGCCATGATCTTGAGAACACAGCATGCTCCCATGCGACCGCAGATAAAGCATTTACAATCCTAAGGGCTTTAAGACGCATATTTACCGATATGGTATACATAAACTTAGAGAGATCCAAACTTAAAAACTGAGTTCGGGCTGCAAATCCCTGTCTAAAATGTTACTCAGACATCGTAGAAGAAGCACGAAGAGCAACTACCCATGCGATTTCAGAACTCTGGGGCGTAACATGCAAAGAGCAACTCCAGAAGTTCGACCATTTCACTCTGTTGCACCACCGATTAAAAGGTGACCTGATTTCGAACCTGATATATCCTCCGTTTCTCTTCATATCAGTTCAGGGCAACTCATAGAACATGTGGTCGAATACAAAAGCCAAGAAGAGAGAAAACGGCCGTAGAGTACAGGTTTCCACATTGAGCAATCAATTCTTGGAACCTGTTACCCGAAGACTTGATATCCGCTCCTTCAAATGACTCATTCAAGGGAAAAGTAAACATTCACAAGCTTACTAAAAAATACTAACAAAGGCCGTGGGTATTTTGTCCTGAATACACGATTTCGATTCTGTAATTTCGACAGTCTACATGGAGACCAACCAGCATGAAGCGGGAATTTCCATTTTGACCGTCTTTATAAGAAAAGCTGTCTGTCTTGTCCTCTGCTGTACGTTTTTCTTTTTGACATTTTGGTGTCGCTACAATATTTGATCCTTCAGTTTGTCGAAATTCCATAATTTGTTTGACGGCGTAAATGGTGGCGCTAATTTTTGAAATGTCTTGTTTTCTCAGTTTTTCACTGCTACTGGTACTACTGCACAGGTCAGTGCATTTCTTGCGACATGATTACTTGCTTTGTGTGCCCGAGTGTTAAACCAAACATACATGTTAAACCGGACATACTTATCACCTTTTCTCACACTAAATGTTATACTGAGATGTCGAACAGCAACAGCATCCAATATACTTTATTTGTATTTGTAAGTGGACTGATATGGATTAATATTCTTATTTAAAGCAGGCTGATATGAGTCTTTACGGTTTCTCCGTAGTTTTCAGAAAAGGCTAAGACTTCTCTTGTAATATACAACTTCTAAGCTCTCAACTTCAGCTTCCTGGAGGTACTTGCACTACGGAATTTCATATTAATCGCTTGTTGATTTTGATGCTTAAGGGTATTCACAGTAGCAAAAAAAGAAGCAACTCTAATTACTTCCCCTATATACCTTATTACTTCCTTCACTTACCATTAATATCCTGACTAAACTGAATTGCAGCACAACACCGTATACTAAACCGAAGAGGTGTCATGATTATTAATTCCACTTGAACAGACATGCTACTTAAATGGCTAACTATGGATAATTAAGCCCATAAGCTCAAAGAACAAACTACAGCCTGATAAGACTTACCTGAAGAAGACATGCGACATAGATTCAAAACTAAAGACTACAATAAGAACGTTCGTCTAGATTTGAACGAACAGTTTCACAATATTTGAGCGCCGAGTTAATGTGAGACATTAAGGAGAAAGAATGTATGTGTAAAATCTCAGCGAAAGAATTTGAAGTAAATCCAACGTTTCGCCTGGCAATCTGGACCAAGCCTTTTCAAGGAAAATATAGTCGGACAAAATTATCGAATACAAATAGGTACATGGTTCTCTGGTTTACTATATACTGAATAAGTCACCATTCAACGTAAAACAGTTTTTGAAGTAGGTATTTACATTAGTGTGTAAAAGAAATGTGGTGTGAAACGAAGAGTGTTAAGATAATAGATTGTGTGTATACGTAAGTGATGTGAGAAGAAATTTCATTCAACTACATATTGTCTTCCGTCTGTGTATATTAAGAAAACATATCATTTTACATATGATATGAATCAAAATGTCACAGAATGCATTAAATGAAGATAAATAAACAAGGTAAAAGACTAAATTCAAGGAGGAATGTATTTGTAGTTGAAAGTTTGTGTTATTTTAATGTTCCAGTCAATTGTTTAACATATTCAGATAAGATAACTGATTTGGACCGTTGAATGTATTATCTATTGATTAGTTAATTTGATATAAATAGATAGATGGAATGAGGAGTTTAGGTTTATACATTAATTATTAGTTGCCATGAGACGGCTAGTTGTATTACATCTCTCTTATTATTACTGTTTGGATTAGCCTGCAGAATTATGGTCTGTTCTGGTACTACTACTTCTCTAATAATAGAACTAATCCTAAATTGTAGATTTGTCATGATATAACTGCCTAATCTTTAAGACCTTCCGTGGAAGTCACATCATCGTCTACACGTACTCACTGGGTCGTGACACCTACCAATACATGATAGAGAACAAACTTAGGCTAGAGATAGAACAATATATTTAATATGGACAAAAGATATAAGGTAGCATTCAGCAGGGACCATGCATGCATGGCCGAGCCATGCCATCCGATCAACTCCAATAATCCAATTCATTGTTCCCACCTTATACATCGTCCAGTCTTTCTTCGCGTTAAATATTGAGTATCTATCTCCCCAGTTGTCTCGTGTTAAGCTTTGAGGATTGTGTGGTTATGGCCCAATGATACTGCAAGCCCATATATGAAGGGCTTTGGCTGTTAGTCGTTCTTTGCAGTAATTAAAGCCTTTTTGAATTATCCTTGTGCTTGACGAAGTCATATGTACTGGGCTGTATACGTTTAGGATATGAGTAATCACTAGGTTATTTGCATTAGTTGGCAACCAACATTTTCTTTATTTTTGTTATAGTTTGGTCTTTAAACATTTCCTGATTACCTGGTTCACGTTATTTATTCTAATGCCGGTTTACAAAGTGAATATAAAGTGGCAGAAGAATAAGTACTCAAATGTGGAATGTAACACCGATGAGTGTCCCAAGTTATTCAAGGCGTTACTTTTCTCGCTTACTGGTGTTCCTCCCGACCGTCAGAAAATTATGATGCCTGGGGGAATATAAGGCGATAAAAATTACAATGGCATTAAACTGAAAGATGGAATTAACGTCATGCTTGTTGGGTCTGTTGACGAAGTACCGATTTCCGAAACCCCTTGTTTGGATGATTCAAAAGTTGCTCATTACACAGAAGAGACTATAAAACTACCGCCTGGCCTCGTTAATCTTGGCAACACTTGTTATATGAATGCAGCTGTGCACTTGCTTTTCTCGATCCCGGAATTGCGTTTAGCTTTGCAGAAATGCCGTTTTCCCCAAACTTCACTGAATTTGCCGAATCTTGATTCCCTATGCGAAAGCTTGAAGTTTTTATTCAATTCCCTAAGCAAAACTGAAAAACCGGTTACTCCTCTGCTCTTCTTGACTTGTTTGCACAGTGTTTGTCCGCAGTTCGCCTCACGTGCATCGTCTTCTGATGCAAGTAAATTCGCTCCAGGTGCTCTATCTATGATTACTCATGGCTTCGAACAACAAGATGCTAGTGAATGTTGGACAGAGCTAATCAGAGCATTACAAAGTAGCAAGATTGATTCTCAAGTTTATGCGTCAACAGTGAATTTTTTTGATTGAGATCATGTACCGATTGATGTTAGACCATCACAATTGAAAACCTGGAAGCACTGGACGCCGTTTCGTCCTATTGTGGGACTCCTCAGCAGTGCGCATCCACGACCCCGCGAGCGGGATTCGAACCCAGGGCCTTCGGTCTCGCGCGCGAACGCTTAACCAACTGGACCACTGAGCCGGCATCCAATGGTGATAGTTTCTAACATCAACCAATCCACGAAATTGCGCGACCAACTTCCATTGTACTGAGGTAGATAACTGTCTCTACCCGACAAGGATTAGCTCCACTGGTCACGGCTTCTCACTAGAACTCCGAGAATTCCCTCACGAAGCTAGTCACTAGTGAGCACATGTTAATTACTAGTATAGGGGCTGTGGAGATTATTAAGTAGATAACTGTCTCTACCCGACAGTTATCTACCTCAGTACAATGGAAGTTGGTCGCGCAATTTCGTGGATTGGTTGATGTTAGAAACTATCACCATTGGATGCCGGCTCAGTGGTCCAGTTGGTTAAGCGTTCGCGCGCGAGACCGAAGGCCCTGGGTTCGAATCCCGCTCGCGGGGTCGTGGATGCGCACTGCTGAGGAGTCCCACAATAGGACGAAACGGCGTCCAGTGCTTCCAGGTTTTCAATTGTGATGGTCTAACATCAATCGGTACATGATCTCAATCAAAAACTTAATAATCTCCACAACCCCTATACTAGTAACAGTGAATTTGCCTCAAAGTTTTCGTACAACATCCCAATGGAATCATGTAGAAAGATTTCTTACTGATCAGTTATCTTGCAAACTTACATGTACTGAATCAGATGAACCCGAGACAGACAGTTTAGAGACGTTTACTCAACTTTCTTGCTTCATGCATCAAGATGTAAAATATTTGCTCACTGGTATTCGAAATGGATTAACGGGAAATCTAACTAAGCATTCATCTTTGCTAAATCAAAATGCAGTTTATAAACATCTATCTCTTATTAGTCGGCTTCCAGCTTACTTATGTATTCATTTTGTTCGCTTCTCCTACAAGGAAGATAAACAGATTAATGCTAAGATTTTAAAGGATGTGAAATTTCCACTAACATTGGATATGCACGAATTTTGTACGCCTGAGTTGCAGCATAAATTACTACCCATGCGTGAAAAACAGCGCCTCAAGGAGGATGAAGTGGTTAATCCCTCAAGTCAAACAAATACTTTCAAAAGTAAACCAGATTCTGTACGACCTGATCCATTCCAAATCCTGACACTGTGTTAATCCATTCTTTTTTTAATAATGTCATTTTGTTCTTCATTCTTAATTATTCTTTTAATAAAATCCTTCGGATAATTATTCATCATTAGAGTGGATACAAATAAATTCACGTCCATTTTTATATCATTTGGTTGTGACAAATTTTTTGACTCTGGTGATCAAATTTTTGGCTACTGTCACTTTGGTAGGATGTGGATGTGCAGACTTAAAATCTAGAAACTTCCCTGAATATGTCGAATTTCGGAAAATACTGGTTTTAAAGACTACAATTATTGACGCATCATAAAATGGTTTATTTAATAATAATTCATTCTCAAATGACAATTTGCTACATGAGGTATGCCAGTTTACAGGCAAGATCAAATTGTTACAAAACATACAAATTTCACCATAGCTAATTACTCAGTTGAGTTGATATTTTATAAGATATGAATGTAGATGGTTTTAGTAAGACCCGTGTTGTCAACATCACAGTTAGCGCGCTTTATGAAAGTTACGTTGCGACGTGCAACTGACGGTCGGGAACATATCCATGTAGAGTTAGGGGCTTCTAGAAACCTCAACCTTATATCTCTCTGGAACAGCTGAGACTTTAATGACGGCTCAGGAGGAAGTCACCCGGTGCATACCTGTTTTCAGTGGCATATCTCAAGGGAGCTGAAAAGGGTGTAAGAAAAGAAAAGACGAGGGGCAGAACAGACAATGTTCATGGAGGAATCGTTAATGTATGACTACTCAGTCAATCAGCAAGATAACATCAGACACTTCTGAAGAACATTTTGGGCTGGGTAATGAGTAATATGTTCAACACATGAACACGAAGTTACATAGAGTGACCACATCTGAGTGGCTGAACCACGCAATCCCGAATGGTCCTTCCGGCATTCACCATTACCGACCTCCCCTAAGTGTTACATGTTGAGTGTCAATCTCCTCAGCAATTATAAGTTCAACTTCAAGAATCCTGTGATTGGGAACCAATATCACTCCAAGCTTATAAGAACATTAGATTTGTGAGTGAACAATGGGCTGGCCGTAAGAGATGTTGAAAGAATGTCTTGAAGTGAGGAATAGGTGGAGGATGATTCCCTGATATAAAGGTTTTAAAACATACACCATGGAGTACAGTGGTGTGATTTGGTACCGCTGGTGCTTTGTCAAAACGTATCATGTTAATCAACTCCATTTAGCGTGTATAATTCCTACCATGTTTTTTCGCTTTACACATCGTGTAAAACAATATCTCTAGTATTCTTTGTTGACATAGATGGATGGGCGATATTAAGTCACTTCAAATGGATTCAGCAACTAACAACTGTGATTAAGGAACAGATTTCAAGTTTGCTGTGTGTACTTAAATAATTTTAACTTATCATTGTCCACTGTCGCAATTATTTGTGAATTTTCGACACAGGTTACAAAAGACAGTTACCATAAATCAATAACGGCTTGATAATTCAGCCTGCAAAATTTATAGGTCTTCTGCCTATTCCAAGTACGAATAAAGGAGCGGGATCAGACACAGTCAGCAACCTCATCGTTCAAAGGCAACCATAATAAAACAACACTAGTCAGAAAATAAATTGAAGCCAATTACATTGTGCATTGGGAGTTGAAGCATCTCCACTTGAAGGTACTATTACGCCCAACGGTAAAGGTCTAGATTCTTCGGAAAACACGTGGCCAGTATCTCTTCTAACAACCAAGGCAATAACAATATGGGCAAATGGAATGTCCTGCTGATTCCCAACTTTTGATTCTCTTCTTTGGGGGGGGGAAGCAAGTGACGACAGACTGCAAAGAAGGACACCTCATCAAGATACCAAGGAAAAGAGATTTGAGCAAATATGAGAACAGCTAATAAAGCTTTAACAACTCTGTGCTGGGCTTGGTATGGTGTGAAAGCTGTCTCACGAATCAGACATCCGTTTGGAGGTTTAGATTTCAACAACACGAGAGTAAGTTTGAGACGTCAAGTATCAAAATACTGGGGGCCTGTAGAGAGATGTAGGAAGGAATGGCAGGCGTGATGCTTTAACCCATACTAGTTCCTTGAAAACCGAAATGAGTTTCTGATTGTGAATGCGCCTGTCTAATATTTCTGATTATTTTCATCTTTTAATATAGTCTTTATACATAGCCCAGAATATTGTGGTATAAATAAGACAATTAAATCCCATCGATCTTAATAAAAAGTTTAAATAAAGCCGTCACGAAAGTACTATTTCATAAATCCATAACGTTCATTCAGTGATTTTATTTAAAGCCGTGTTGAGTAAGATTGATTCGTTATCATGAATTATTCTGATGGACGGCTACATGAGGTGAGGAGGATAACTGACAGATGACCTAGCCCTCCTCTCGCATACACACAAACAAATGCAGATAGAGACAGCCAGTGTAGCAGCAGTTTCTGCATCAGTAGGCCTCAACATACACAAGGAGAAAACCAAGGTCCTCAAATACAACATGGAGAACACCAATCCAATCACACTCGATGACGAAACTCTGGAATATGTAAAATCCCATACGTACCTGGGAAGCATCATCAACGAACAAGGAGGATCAGATGCAGACGTAAAGGGGAGGATTGGAGAAGCAAGGGCTGCATTCCTACAATTGAAGAACATATGGAACGCAAAACAACTGACTGCCAACCAACACCAAAGTCAGAATCTTCAATACGAACGTCAAGACAGTCCTACTGTGCGGAGCTGAAACGTGGAGAACTACTACAACCATCATCAAAATGATGCAAGTATTTATAAATAGTTGTCTAAACAAGAGACTCAATGTCCAATGATCGGATACCATCAGCAACAGCTCCTTGTGGGAGAGAACAAACCAGCTTCCAGCTCAAGAGGAAATTCGGAAAAGACGATGGAAATGGATGGGACATACATTACGCAAATCATCAAACTGCATCATGAGGTAAGCTCTAACATGGAATTGTGAAGGAAAGCGAAAAAGAGGAAGGCCAAAGAACACATCACGTCGGGAAATAGAAGCAGATATGAAAAGGGTGAATAACAAGTGGAAAGAGCTGGAAAGGATTGACCAGGACAGGATTGGATGGTGAGTGCTGGTGGCCGGCCTATGCTCCTCGACGAGGAGTAACAGGCATTAGTAAGTAATGACTCCAACTAGTACATCACATATTGAGTTTGCACATCACATATCTTGGGAAATATTGTGAACTGTAAGCATTTGTGTTCTGGAGGAATCCTGTGGGCAATAACGGACGTTCACAAACTTTAGTTTCAGTTTCAGTTTGGGAAGGACAGTAGGCTTGATTGCCAGTGTTAGTCCTGACGATGATGGTCTCTCAGTTGATTCAACCTTCTTTTGAGAGTCGACGGATGGAGCCTCAACCACGTGCTGAGGTAATGAATCCCACTCGTTGATGATTCATTGGGAAAGTCGATAGTCAGCTGACAAGTAATTTATCCTGGGCTTGTGAAAATTTTTGGAGTGTCCTCGTAAATTCGTTTTGGGAGACAAGAAAAATGGGGGCATATCAGGTGCAAATTTATCACTAAGCAATTTGAAAACTGTAATCAAGTCGCTTATAGTACTTCAATATGAAAACGGGAATAGGTTCAGCTTGGCCAGTCGTCCATCATACGGAGGCTTCGCTATTCCGGGAATCAGATTAGTTGCTTTTCTGTGGACCTTTTCCAGAAGCTCACTGTCTTTTTTCAATCAGGGGCTAGCCGCTTGTATGCAGTACTCAAGTTTAAGACGTACAAACACTGTATACAAAGTCAAAAACGTTTTAGCGTCGACATGACTAAAAGCCCTACGTACTGACCATAAGGTTTCAAAACCTTTGGCGGCTATTGCACGGCAGTGTGCTGTAGTCTTTAAGTCTTGGCTAAGGATGACTCCTAAGTCATTGTGTGTCTGGACAACAGTAAGCTCAATGTTATTCATCACGTATCTATCTGTACCTTGGTGAACAATATGCATCACAACACACTTGGAAGTATTAATCTGCAAGTATCCGACTTGAGACCATTCAGATAACTTCTTCAGGTCATTTTGGTGTTCTAAGCTATGACCCTTACATAGTATCTCTCTCTGTATCTTGAAATCGTTAGCATATAGCAAGACCGATGATGATAGGAGACGAGGAAGGTCATTTACACACAAGAGGAATAGCACTGGTCCCAAAACTGTACCCTGGGGCACTCCACTAAGCAATTATCAGTACTGAATTGGATGACGCTTTTACTGACCTCCCTAACACATTGTGTTTGGAAAAGTAGCAAAAAGTATGGGAGAAGGTATGTAAGGAAAACATTTCTGGTTTAGACTCAGGTGGACGAGCATAAGATCAATAATTTGACTACATAGAAGTGGGCGGAATAACTTTCAAATATCAGGTCCATTTACAAGGAGCATTGTAGCTGAATAGCTGAACTGACCGCACTTAAGAACATCAAAGATCTGGATCGTTTTCTTACGGCCGATCGCGGCCCCAAAAAATAAACAACCCATTCTTGTTCGTCTCAAAGACATTGGATATTAAACAAACCTTAAGCAAAGTTTCAAGTAGTGAGTTACACAAAGTTGGTTTGTCGTGATTCTCGCGCTAGTGATAAGTTGCATAATATTACTCAAGGTACCTATAATATCTATAGATCCATCCTTGTCCTATTTTTCATTGACTGATGCACATGTAAGTGAACCGAAAGAACTAATTGAATTCAGAAAGATCAGAGTAATCTCTAAATGTCCAGTGCTAATAACTGTGCATACCTTCATAAAAATGTCAAATGACCTGAAAGCTTCATAGATACTTTTAAATGATGTAAATAATTTAGCGTATATTTTCTCCTTTCGCTCTTCCGATTAACAATGTGGAACTGCAGTTCATTGAATTCAGCTCCATCTTTCAAAGATGTTTTCATAGGTTCACTTACCGTCACTTGAAGTTTATGATAAAATAAGCTTCCGACAGATGAACATTAAAGTAATCTACACTGGGCCAGATGTTTTACTTTCACAGTTTACCATGTTTCTGTTATATTTTGTTTCTCATAATCTTTTGTTCCCATAATCTCCGTCTTTTTACGCTTTACCGAGTACAACCTTATGTGGAAGACTTAAAAAGACTTTCGAATTTGTTTCCAATGTTACCATTTTTCAACAAAATGAATATCTTTCGATTTCAGCATGGACATCAATATAATGACAAGGTCATCTATTCACCCTGAAACTACTTTTATCCCAGGATATTAATACTGCATTCTTTTGCAAGTGAAATGTAGTTATGATTCGGTAAAAATGCCGAACGTATGTAAGCTCTTACATATATAAATGTATTATTGCTGGCCATAAAACCAGGAAAATCTCAATTGAAAATTCTCTTTACTGCAGTTCTTTTTTTCCTGGTACAAATCAGTGCTTAAGGCCTTCGTCTCGTCCCAAATCTAACTCGAAATTCCATGCCCGAATATGTAACAGTTAGTGGTGTTTATTATTCCAGATTTGTGTGGACAAATGTACTACTAGTTCAGTCTGGATTAAGTATCTTCATACAGATCTTTAGATATAAGAAAATATCAAGAATTCAGTGCTTCTTTTTGGACACATGGTGTCTTATATCATTTCACTTTGATATTCTCATCTTTTTCTTGCGTACTTTTTTAGCTGCGTTCACTGGTGCATGCTCATAAAAACGGACAGTTGACTAATACTGGGTATAAGAAATGTCGCGTGGTTACCTAGGAAACCACAAAGACGATGGATGGTCGGGATATGTAAGTTTCTGTTAACAATATATTATAGTTTACCAGATATTGTGTGCTACAATAAGTAGTAAACTTTTAAAAATAATCAAAAGTCCTACTGTTCCATTATTATTTCTGTAATAAATCCTGCATTTGGCGTTTATATAACGTTTTGTTTTACTGTAACTTATCTTAAAATACTAGAGTGAGACATCATCATTATAGCCATGGAGATATTATGTGTTCTATATTAACTTCCAAACATATTTCAGTGTATTCTCTGAAAATATTTCTTTTCATATAATTTTACTTTTATAAGCCACTGAATAGTAGCTACATTGCTATCAAGCAATAATGGGAATAAAAACAAAGCCTACTCCGTAACTGGCTCGTTATACGGTTAAGCAACTTTAAAGTATACACAGCGTCTACTTTTGTTCTTTACTCCACATATACTGTCAATAGTTGTACTACCTTTGATGGCTGTAAGATTATACTAGGGATTTATTTATTCGAGCTCTAGTTAATTATCAGACGAAATGTATTTTAGACTAAATTAGTTTGTATCACGATATTTGGACATACAGATTTATGCAGAACAATTTCGTTTTTCTGCCAAGGTTGGAATTACTCAGCAAATAAATATAGAGTCAGACGTGACTCGGACTAACCTCGATTTGTGATTTGTACAGCTATCAAAGGTAGGAAATCGTCCCATGATTGCCTCCGAGGCATTAGTTTGACTAATATAGAGCCTAAACTATTATCATCTGACTCTTAATTAAAACTTGGCAACAATGAGGCTGAAAAAAATAGACCGGGTTTCGATCTAGTCCTGTATGTATAGATGATATAATGTTTGCTCATATAGATTTTACAACTCTGAGGAACTAAACTGTCTTCGTACTCCACAATCCCACTGCCTAGCACAAATTTGTGTATCTGAAATAAGGCGACTCTCCAAACTTAAAGGATAACGATGCAACCTGGTTACCCAAACCGAAGTAGATCGGGCGGGGTTCGAGTCTCATGGGGAGCATTGGTTTCCTCAAGATTGCAGCCATCATTTGGTGACGAGTAACAACTAGTACGAAGTCTAGCTCCACAATATCCTACTGAATGCTTCTATCTGAATACTCAATCCTTTTGCCTGATTGATTATTTCACCTGAAAATTTTTTGTTGTTACCATGGTAGTTTAACGATAGACACATGGCAATTGCAGCAGTCAAAAGTTTTTAAACTTTAGTCATTTTATATTTCCATAGTCTGTATTTTTCCCAAGTGCATGGAGGTATACTTCATATATTTTACACTCTTCTGAGAATTTCCCCATAAACTTGTTTTATGGAAGACTGTTGTGTAAATCTGTGGTTATGTTCAGTAGTCACTGTCATTTGTTTGGTCAGAAATTAAAGACATCATTTTGCTTCGAACTTTCAGTTAGTATTTTGCCGGGTTACAATGCAAGCACACCATCTAACCTTATTCTGGAACTTCTTACTTACTTACGCCTGTTACTCCTCGTCGAGGAGCATAGGCCGGCCACCAGCACTCACCATCCAATCCTGTCCTGGTCAATCCTTTCCAGCTCTTTCCACTTGTTATTCACCCTTTTCATATCTGCTTCTATTTCCCGACGTGATGTGTTCTTTGGCCTTCCTCTTTTTCGCTTTCCTTCACAATTCCATGTTAGAGCTTACCTCATGATGCAGTTTGATGATTTGCGTAATGTATGTCCCATCCATTTCCATCGTCTTTTCCGAATTTCCTCTTGAGCTGGAAGCTGGTTTGTTCTCTCCCACAAGGAGCTGTTGCTGATGGTATCCGATCATTGGACATTGAGTCTCTTGTTTAGACAACTATTTATAAATACTTGCATCATTTTGATGATGGTTGTAGTAGTTCTCCACGTTTCAGCTCCGCACAGTAGGACTGTCTTGACGTTCGTATTGAAGATTCTGACTTTGGTGTTGGTTGGCAGTCAGTTGTTTTGCGTTCCATATGTTCTTCAATTGTAGGAATGCAGCCCTTGCTTCTCCAATCCTCCCCTTTACGTCTGCATCTGATCCTCCTTGTTCGTTGATGATGCTTCCCAGGTACGTATGGGATTTTACATATTCCAGAGTTTCGTCATCGAGTGTGATTGGATTGGTGTTCTCCATGTTGTATTTGAGGACCTTGGTTTTCTCCTTGTGTATGTTGAGGCCTACTGATGCAGAAACTGCTGCTACACTGGCTGTCTCTATCTGCATTTGTTTGTGTGTATGCGAGAGGAGGGCTAGGTCATCTGCGAAGTTCGAATCGTCTAATTGGTTCTGAGGTGTACAAAGTATTCCGTGTTTGTCCTTAGATGCCGAGATCTTCATAATCCAGTCGACTACCTGAAGAAAGAGGAAGGTAGAGAGTAGACAGACTTGTCTGACTCCCGTGCTTACTTGGAATGCATCCGTCGGCCGTCCTCTATGCACGATTTTGCATTGTAGTCCGTCGTATGAGTTCTGGATTATGTTGACAACCTTCTCAGGAACTGCATAGCGTCTAAGAGGTTTCCGTAATGTCAAAGGTATCAAAGAAGCATTAACTTCAATTTGTCAAGAGGTTCTGGGTCTCAAGAAGCATCATCATAAAGGATGGATCTCTATAGAAACACTGGACAAGATCAAAGAAAGGAAGAACAAGAAGACAGCAATTGTCAATCGCCTTTTCATAATCAATGAAGTTGGTGTATAGCGATGAGTATCACTCAATTGATTGTTCGACGATGATCCGTAGTGTCGCAGTTTGGTCTGTAAATGATCGATCCTTACGGAATCCAGCCTGTCGATTTTGAAGTTGGGAGTCTACTGCGTCTTTCACCCGATTTAGCAACACTCTGTTAAAGACTTTCCCTGGCACTGACAGTAGTGTGATATCTCTGTAGTTTTTACATTTGCTCAGGTCTTTCTTTGGAATCTTGATGAGGTGTGCTTCTTTCCAGTCCATCGGCACTTGTTCCTCCTTCCAAATCTTGAATAGAAGACAAAGCATGTTTGTAGTTATTTCGATGTCTGACTTCAGTGCTTCAGCTGGTATATTGTCGGGTCCTGCTGCTGCTTTCCCGCTCTTGACTTGTCTGATGGACATTCTGATTTCTTCGGTAGTTAGTGGAATGACATCTATAGGAGGGTCTGTTTGTGCTGCTTCGATGTTCGGTGGGTTCATTGGAGCCACCCTATTCAAGAGTTCCTCGAAGTACTCTACCCATCTGTTCCTCTGTTGTTGAATTTCATTGATTGGCCTGCCTTCTTTGTCCTTGAGTGGTCTCTCTGGTTTACTATATCTCCCCGCTAGTTTCTTCGTTGCATCATATAGTTGTTTCATATTTCCTTCCCTTGCAGCTTTTTCCTCTGTCTTCGCTAGTTTTTCCACGTATTTCTGCTTGTCGGCTTTAATGCTCTTTTTCACTTGCTTGTTTGCTTCTGTGTACTCAGCTTGTGCCTTGACTTTCTCTGCTCGTATTCGGCTGTTGTTAATTGCTGCCTTCTTGTTCTTCCTTTCTCTGATCTTGTCCAATGTTTCTATAGAGATCCATCCCTTATGATGATGCTTCTTGAGGCCCAGAACCTCTTGACACGTTGAAGTTAATGCTTCTTTGATACCTTCTCAGTTGTCCTCCATAGTAGTTTCTCCTTCTTTCAGTAGATCCTGTAAGGCTTGAGACCTGTTGTTGAGTTATTTATTATTTATTTATTTATTTGAACACATAAATATTGGTACAAGAGAGCGCCAATATATATGCGCCACACAAAACAATGGGAATTCGAAGAGAAGTAGAAAGAAAAGAAAAAAAAACTAAGGAACGCAAAAGAAAAAGAGAGTAATGACGAAGAGGTACAATCAGAAGAAATCTTTCAGGTAAAGGAGACACAACCACTTTTTATGAAGAAAGTAAAAGAAGGTTACAGCAGGATCGCCACTGGCTTCTATTCTGAGCCATATCTGATAACGTCTCTAGCCACTGTGTTGCACCATCTCTCGGACCCCAACCAGGGAGTCGTGAAGGACCAACACAAGCCAGTCCTTTGCAGCTTTCTTTCATGCCACGACACCATGTCATGCACTGACCACCTCTCCGCTTCTTCCAACCAGTCCCAGAGTCGGCAAATAATGCACGACGTGGAATTCTCTGGGACGACATTCGGAGAACATGTCCAAGCCACCGAAGTCGGTGTTTCAAGATGGTGACACCAATTGAGTTATCATCTCTGTGCCCGAACACACGATGCCGAACCTCTGCATTACTGACATGGTGTTGCCACTGAATGTCAGCAATCCTTCGCAGACAGCGATGATCGAACACAGAGAGTCGTCTAACGTCCTCAACTCGGAGAGGCCAGGTTTCACAAGCATAGAGCAAAACTGCTCTCACCGACGCGTTGTAGATCCGGCCTTTTACAGCCAGACTAACATCACGAAGGCGCCAAAGGTGGCCCAGATTGGCATAAGCCGCTCTGGCTTTCACTATTCGAGCATTGATCTCATCACTCACACCCCCACCAGCACTTATGCAGCTACCCAGATACACGAACTTCTCAACTACGTCTATCTGCTCACCATCCAGGGTGAGTACAGGATTAGAATCCTGCCAGTCTTGTAGAAGTACTTTGCACTTCGAAGGTGCAAAGCACATACCATACCTACGGACATTGATTGCCAACTGATTAAGTGCGGATTGCATGCCTTGGGCATTATCGCACAGTAAGACAATATCGTCCGCATACTCAAGGTCGAGAAGTCTTTCTCCAGGCAACAGATCCACACCACCATTACTTACATTCATCAGAGCTGTTTCCAGAATGTCATCGATGGCAAAGTTGAAGAGGAATGGTGAGATTGGGCAACCCTGCCTAACCCCACTGCTCGAATGGAACAATGGAGAGAGGTGGTTGTATGCCCTCACTCTGCCTGAGGTGTTTTTATACAGGGCTTTTAGGATGTTAATAAACTTCTCAGGCACACCCTTCTTCAATAGACAATCCCAGAGAACAGTCCTATCCAACGAATCGAAGGCAGCCCTGATGTCAAGAAACACTACGATTGTTGGCCTTTGAAAAGTATGGCGGTGTTCTAACATTTGGCGGAGGGTGAAGATATGATCAATACATCCTCGACCAGAACGAAACCCAGCCTGCTCCTCGCGAGTCAATCTTTCTCGGGTTTTGAACAACCTACGAAGAATGACGGAAGCCAATAGCTTGGACGCAATCGGAAGTAAACTTATCCCCCGATAGTTGTTACAAGAACGACGTGAACCCTTTTTAAAGATAGGGACAACTATCGACTCATTCCATGACGTTGGTACACTCTCTAGATCCCAAACCTTTGTAAACAACGTCGTCAATTCCTTAGTCAAAAAGTCACCACCATCTTTAAAAAGAGCCGGAGGTAAGTCATCTGGGCCAGGTGATTTGTAACGCTTCAAGAGTTGGAGTTCCTTGCGGACTTCCTCCTCATTTGGTGGATCAGTCGTCACCGGCCATGGAGGGCAGGACAGTCTGACCGATGTTACCGGAGCAGCAGGCCAGTTGAACTGCCCTTCGAAAAATTCTGCCCATCGTCCAAGACGTCGATGGATGTTAGTGATTGGCATCCCATCATCCTCGCAGATTGTTTCACTCACACCAGACTTCTTGCTGCCAGTGGCTCGGATGAGTTGGAAGAGCTTCCGGTAGTTACCAGATGCAGCTGCTGCTTCCAGCTCATTAGCACGCATCGACCACCAGGCTTCTCGGTCCTTACGCAAGCTTTGCCCGATTTCCTTACGTAAAAACCTTCGTTTATGGTCAAACTCACGGTTACCCGGAGTAGACCGACGGGCTTCGATGAGTTGTAAGGAACCAGAAGAAACCCAGTGCTTAAAAGCGGGACGTTTCGCAAACCCACAACTGACTGTTCCCGCCATTTTCATGGCGTCATGCAATTGCAACCAATGCTCATCTATACTTTTCGGTGGAGTGGTAGCTAGCCTAGAGGCTAGCTCGGTTCGATACTTACTTGCAACAGAAGTTGCAACCAGCTTGCTAACATCAATCCGTTGATGGCGTTCACTTCGTTGTCCACTGAAAAGTAAGGCAAGATTGGCGCAGACCAAGGCATGGTCAGAGTCCAGATAGGTACTCCAAAAGGAGCGGCAGTCTTGTACACAACCACGCCAGCGGTAGCTGATCGCGATGTGATCAATCTGAGTCCAGGCTTGAGATGCAGAGGGAGGACGCCAGGTGGCACATCGGCGATGACTGTGCCGAAAGTTAGTGCTAGCCAGAAACAGGTTGTGGTCTGCGCAAAGTTGCAGTAGACGGTCCCCGTTATCTGACCTGCGACCAACGAGTCCCCATCGGCCACCTAAACGACTCTCTTCTGTGCCTAGACGCCCGACCTGAGCATTCAAGTCTCCGGCTAGTACTACAATATCTGTCGAACGCACTTTCTGGAGAAGAACTGATAACTGGTGGTAAAACTCATCCTTGATTGCATCCGGGCTGCAATCTGTCGGGGCATAGGCGGAGATGACGAAAAGACATCGTTTCTCACGCCGATTTCTTCTCACTTTGATGGAACTTTCTAATCTAACAGCACATAACCGACTGTTAATGGGGATCCAATCGACTAGTGCTGCCTCAGCTCTAGCGCTTAGTGCGACACCAACGCCAGCAAAACCAGACGAAGATGCCACAGGGTCCCCGGATAAGCGCACGTAAAACAAGCTTTTCGAAGCGACAGATGGAGATCGAATTTGTAGTACTTCGCCAGAGTCTTGAATACGGGTCTCGGATAGACAACACACGTCGATATTAAGACTTTCCAAAGACATAGCCAGCCCTATCTGTTGTCCGACCTGCATAAATGTGCGAACGTTGAAGGCAGCCAGTTTGAATGATGCACGTGGTTTCAGAAAATCTGCTTCAGTCCTCGTATTCGGTGGTAGCATACAATTTTCAACCGGACAGTGACTCGAGAACGTTTAGATACAGTCGGAATTCCACCAAAGACGAGCCGCTGTATAAGTATAAAAGAAGGTGAATAATGTGGAAAATAATAATAATAATGATAATAATAACAATAATGACAATAATAGTAGTAATAATAATATTAGTATTAATAATGATAATAATTGAAGTGATCATAATTTGAATCAATTGATTGTTTTTCAAAGCGACAAAAGTAGTTTCCATAGACATAAACAGTTCATCATTTGTGTGTGGGCTGTGATACTGCCCGGGTGCCCAAACCGAAGCAGGTGGTTATCTTAGGGGGCCACTCCCCGAGCCTTTGACCTAAAGGTCTAACCCACAAGGCAGTGGAGCATCGTAAGGAGATGCAGTCCCATGGTAGCCGGTGACCAACGATTGGTTCATACGCCATTCGTTCCCGCAGGATACTGGAGCCCATGTGCACCATTGATTTGGAATCCGGTTAAAGCGCCGGACATTCGCTTCTCGTCCTCTCATTTTCGTAAACAACACCCCCGCCACGAGAAGGCAATGAGTAGGACTTCCCTGGCAGAGGCTATATACGCGTGGCCGTGTGAGAGTATTTCGAGAGGGAGAGCGGACTCTCCCCACTCTCGGCCGTACCAGGGCATTCAGGGGTCCTGTTGTTGAGAGTTATCTTGAATTCGTTGAATTTGTTAGTATCTCGAAGGAAGGCTGAAGAAACAGCATTACAAGGGTTCAATATAGCCTATAGACTATGAGTTCTACCAGTGTTTTGATATTCTTTTAAATTTCCGAAAAATACGAAACGAAAGTTAGTCTACTTATTAGTAGTCAGCGAAACAAACTAGTTTTCTAGGCATTTTATTTTGAGGATGGTTTTCCGGTGTAAACCAAAAAAACAACTCAACAGTATATTTCTAAAAAAGATTATCACAGATTCGTGATGACTATCGTAACCAATGGTTAGAGACTCTTGGTGACATGACTCAGAATCGATCACTTCCCTCTGCCAGGGAAATCCTACTCACTGCCTTCTCGTGGCGGGGGTGTTGTTCACAAAAATGAGAGGACGAAAAGCGAATGTCCGGCGCTTTAACCGGATCCCAAACCAATGGTGCACATTGGCTCCAGTATCCTGCGGGAACAAATGGCGTATGAACCAATCGTTGCTCACCGACTACCATTGGAACTGCATCTCCTCACGATGCTCCACTGCCTTGTGGATCAGACCTTTAGGTTGAAGGTTCGGGGAGTGGCCCCCTAAGAAAACCACCTGCTTCGGTTTGGGCACCCAGGCAGTATCACAGCCCTCACACATATCGAATAAGATTTGTGTTGCGCATATGTATTTCGTGCCTCCTTGTACCAATATCTATGTGTTAAAATAATAATAATAACAATGGCGTAGATGTATACACTCACTGTCTTCCCTTAAACTGAGAGATTAAAATCGCTTCATATCTTTCTTTCTACGAACTAATTCTTTCTTCCTGTACTATATCCTTATTGCAATCTTTCTTTTATATATTGCCACAACTGAATTAACTACTTTTATGAATCCGGTGTCCATCTTGTTGTGTTAATGAGGTATGGCAACTTGGACCGATGCATATATGTGCCTGGTCGTACTTTGTAGCTGACTGACTGACTTATCACGGATTTAATCTCGGAACCTCACCTCATATCAAAATTATTAGCATTGAATCTTTGTGCTTATATTTCTTATTTAGTGCTTAATAACAGTCCATTCATGAGTAGGCAAGAACTTTTTTCGGTTAATTATTATGGAATACCTATCATTGTTTTCGAGTTCCGTAACAGTCTTAAACTTCATGAGTTTTTAGTAAAACATCGGTAAACTTAACTTTCAAATATGATCCCAAAAGACAATTCAACTTGCACATTGCTATTTAGTCACCAAGTGTAAAACAAAATAACCATACAGTCATTTAATCATTTCAGTGTCTAGTCAACTGGATTTTTTAAAATGGACTTCAACGAAATCTCATCATATTGTCTGTTCTTTCTCGTGCTTACTTAATTTGGTTATTGTTTTTTGTATTGATTTTGATAATCTTTTATTATCATTGTTACTATAATCAGGGTGGATATATGCGTGCTAAGATATCGAAATTGGAAAAGCAATTCAATGAACAAAGCGAATCTGGTTTATTATTATTCAGTGGTGTCTCTATTTATGTGAACGGTTACACAGGTTGGATAATCAGTCAGTTTAGTATTATTAGTATTTATAGACCCACCTGCTTTGGTCTTACGAGATTTAATAATACGCCACGGCGGTCGTTACCAAGCATACTACAGTCGATCAGCAGTTACTCATGTGATTGCCAGTCGTTTACCTTATGGAAAACTAAACAAACTCTCAGATGAGAAGTTAGTCACTGCAAATTGGATTACTGAAAGGTAATTTTGTGTTCTGTAAACTAGTCACTTTTTATACTGAATGGTATTTAGACAGATAATAGATAGTACCGTTCTGATTATTCGTATGTGTTCATTAAAATTATAAAATTCAGCCTCTTAAAAGCACAAATATTCAAAAATTCAGAAGCAAGTTTACACTATCTGTGAACTTATAACTTTTTATCAGTACAGTGCTCTGTATTTAGGAGTTGGAGATAAATTGTATTTTTTAGAATATATTAATACAACAAACTTTGTTCCGATGAATCTGATACAGTTGACCAACCAAAGATTTTATTTTCTAAGGAGATTATATATATATGAATGCTCGTGGATGTGAATCGGTCTAGCTCTTGTTTGTGTACAATTGTTAGTCTCGAACAAAGAACGTCATGACAAAATCAGGACGAACAATCTGTTTCCTGGCGTTAACTAAATTCTATGTAATCAATTAAATCCATGGAGACTAGTTGCAAGCGTGCAGATAGGATCACCGATAATAGAAAAAATCCGTTGGTGGAGATCATGATAGAAAGTTGACTAGAAAATACTGAAGATCTTATGTTTTTTTATTTTCAGTACTTTCCACTTCATTTTTATGCTGTTTTTCCTCTCATTTTTTCTATACATGTTGTAACGTGTGAGACTGCAGTTTAGATGGAGCAGCGTTTTAATCGATCGATTCAGTGACACGTAAAACACGCAAGGATGGCCTAGGGTTTTGATTGGCCCTGCTTCGCTGTCTATCCCAGCCAGTTGAGTCCAGAACGCAAGTCACAGCCTCTGAGATATGAATGATTATATTTCAGACATACTCTATTTATATACCAATCAACCAGACCACATCGTACCATAAAATAGAAAACAACATTTGTACAATATTTAACAAGTGAAATAAACATCGAGCAATAGGAAATGTACATTTAAAGTCCAAGGCCACCATTAGACTTAACATGATAATTACTGGTATATTTTTCTGCACATCCTAACAATACATAATGCTATCTGTCTAGTTGTTGAAGAGTAAAGTAATTAGGCAATCTAGCAGTTTCAAGACTACAGTTAATAATTATGCGCTAGTGTGTAAGTTCGAATCGGTGACAGTTTTATTTCTACATCGACCAGTGATTCTGAAGGAGTTAGAACATTTCTTCAATGAAAAATAGGATATTCATGTTTAGTAAAATAGCATATACAGTCATACGAATAGTAACATTTTTTGGCACCTTCGTGATGTTAATTTGGCTGTAAAAGGTCGGATCTACAACGCGCCGGTGAGAGCGGTTTTGCTCTATGCTTGTGAAACCTGGTCTCTCCGAGTTGGGGATGTTAGACGACTCTCTGTGTTTGACCATCGTTGTCTCCGAAGAATTGCTGACATCCAGTGGCAGTACCATGTCAGTAATGCAGAGGTTCGGCATCGTGTGTTCGGGCACAGAGATGATAATCCAATTGGTGTCACCATCTTGAAACACCGACTTCGGTGGCTTGGACATGTTCTACGAATGTCGTCCCAGAGAATCCCACGTCGTGCATTATTTGCCGATGCTGAGACTGGTTGGGAAAAGCGGAGTTGGTCAGTGTATGACATGGTGTCGTGGTATGAAAGAAAGCTGCAGAGGTCTGGCTTGTGTTGGTCCTTCACGACTCCGTGGTTGGGGTCCGAGAGATGGTGCAACACAGTGGCTAGAGACGTTATCAGATATGGCTTAGAGTAGAAGCCAGTGGCGATCCTGCTGTAACCTTCTTTTACTTTCTTCTTAAAAGTGATCGTAACTTCTTTAGCTGAAAGAATTCTTTCTGGTTGTGTCTTTCTGTTTCCCCTATTATTAATATTATTATTCCACTGCCATACACTAATTTGTGGTCGTTATTTGTTCCCTTTTTCTTTTTACACGCACCTTACATTTTTATCTCTTGCTATTTTCATTGTTATTGTGTGGCGCATATGTATCTGGTGCCCCCTTGTACCAATATTTGTGTTCAAATAAATAAATAAACATTTTTTGTTCAGTTGTGCAAGGAAACTAATATCTAGGTATATTATATTGGCTTGGTTCTCATTCCCAGGACAGAGTGGGTTGGAGAATGATGGTCGGCGGCATATGCTCCATTAGGAGTAACAGGCGTAAGTAAGTAAGTAGTTGGTTCTCATTGGACTGACGATGTTATACAAACCAATGGTTTCAATACTCGACTATCAATCACTAGCTTAATCACCCGTTCAGTTCTACTCTACTTTCAATATAATAAAATAATAGACCTTCTAAAAAGATAAAGGGTGTATTCTAGTCAGGAAACTTACAGGATTATTCGGAAGGCTATGACAAGATGAAGTATACTAACACTCATGAGTCGAATGATTACTGTAGCAACCATAAAAAAGCCTGTGTAATCCATGTGACCTTCGCTCAGTTACAAGTATGCTACTAAATAATAGATTCCATTATACTTAAAAAGTCATGGAACACGTCAAACATTTGCTTGTATGAAGCATACCAGTTTTCTTCCGGAACACTTTTAACTGCTGACGTATAAACTACTTGGAATCGACCAAACAAGACTGTGATCTGAAACTGTTATTTAGGAAGGAAAATCATTCTGAATTTTGTTAACATTTCTAACTCATTTGAATGTAGCTGTTTTTGTTACTCGCTAAATTCGTCATTGTATAAAGGTAACCGTGGTGTGTTAGTGTCTGTTCATTTATTATGACTTCCTAAATAGAGTTGTAGAGTACCCTACTATTCATAGTTTATAATCAAAATGTATAGAAATGTTTATGATATTGCTTGCTTCATAAGCACTATATTAATTATTAGCAATGAATGAATTCTGTCTTGATTATATTTTTGCTTGAACTTTGTCCTTTAAAAGCTCCTATTCTTATTTTTTCCGTATGATTTTTACCTCCCTTTTTACAAAGTTGTCATTTGAGTTTGTATAACACGGTTGTACTAAGAATTTTTCTAAATGCCAAATGAACCAGCGAAATCAATCCATTAAATTCTTCTCCTCATAGTTCGGTTAAGGATACAGGATAGTCCCCAAGATCGAAGGTGTGTCTCATTATCGAGTACATAAAAGTATACTTGGTTAATGAATTGCATTAAAACATTGGATAAATATTTTGATTTGAAAAGATAACATATGTCCCACCCAAAATGGTAGTTTTAAACTTTTATACGACAATCATTTTATGTATAAGCTTACTAATATTTGGTATTTTCAGTATTGAAGCTGGTAAACTTTTACCATGGCAAAGTTACCAGCTGTATCCAACTCATCGTTCTGGAACTGGGCAGAAAACTCTGAAGATTATACCTGTTATTCCCGCAGATGAGACAAGTATGTTTGCTCTTCAGAATATTGATAAAAAACGGTTATTGGTGGGAAGCTTTGTGTAATTGTTTATATCCTTAATTTTCATAGGAAAGTTTCAGACTAAGAAACGTTTTGGCGCTTGTGCTGATGATTTATTTTACACTGAAGAATCTATGAAACAAAATCTGGTCTTGTATAGTTCTCTTATGGAATCCCCATATACCTTTAACCACTCAATGAGAATAATATCTAGAGCTTGATAAGATTGATAATTTATTGGTTCAATCACCTTTGAGCTTGGACTTGAATAAGGGTAAGAAATATAGCACTTGAAACCCTTTGTGTTCGGATGAATTATGGTATCGAGTATAAAAAGTTTGTTGGAGCCTCATGACTGCTCTAATAATAATGTGATCAGTCTGCTTATCGACCTTGACCGAATCAATAGGAGTCAACCATCTATTATCGAAAGTTGGTTAATGCAGTTAAGCATCCGTAAATTACAATCCAGGTGATAATATAAGAATTAACTGTCCAAAACTTTAACAGCATTTAGAAGCCGAAGTATTTCAAAAACAGATTAAAAAATATCTTGAACAGTAACCACAAATAGTAGTATATATTTGAAGGTTTTAAGAAGTTAATGAGGTGCTGAATTCGTGTGCAATTCGAATTAATAGTCTAATTGCTAAAATTATTATTCAGCTAGATTCAAACTCCTTACTATGTGGCCACCAAGATATAATCCAGAAAAAAAATAGCATAACATTATTCTAGGAGTTAGAAAATGATTAATTCTACAAAAAGACCAGTCATATGATGTACATTTAAAAAGCTCTTATTACTCTTCGAACTGATAAGGTGAAAGTACAGAAATCTAGTACTCTGTTAACGAGAAATCATCTGCACGAAAAGTCTCACTACTTAAAATTGTTCATCAGAAATTATCCAGCAAAACATAGGTTTCTACCAGTCTCTTGTGAAGAGTCCATGCATATTAATAGCATATAATAGCATGCATTGATTAAAGACGTTTTAAGAACCTACCTTGTTATCAAATAAAGGCGTTGCCTATAAACGTTTACATATAAAAGTTTAGTCTTGTCCTTAACTCCGTCCGATATTTACTCGCCTTGCTCGATGAGATCACTTTGCGTAAGTTTTTCTGGTCTAAGAAAATGGTTCGTTGGACATTAATGAGCTGGAATGGGATTAATATGGATTAGATCATATTAGAATTCCAGATAGATACTTTACAAAAACCTACAGCTTTGTGAACTCTTATGCCTTCATAGATGACCACGATATTATTATTGAGTTTATTAATCACTTCTGGTCGAAAATAAGATGAAATCTACCCAAAAACAAACAGAAAACTATCCTCACAACCTGAACTGTGGACCACAAATTCATTTTAAGCTTCTGGATTCCTTTTCTATTTGGTTAAATGTTTTTCCTGGGCATTCAAGTTTTCAATCAACATCAATTCTTTCAGGTTTGTTTGATTAAAAGTCATTTGGGTGATATTGGGATTTGTTTTTGTTCATTTAGGGCTAAAATCAGTGGAAGAGTAGGAAAGAATGATAAAAAGGCGTTTCTTATCCTACTGCTTACGTTTTTCCTTAATAATAAGATATACTTCATATATCTTTATAACCTTTGGTGTTTCCTAGACAAAATATCCACCAATAATCGTATTGTATAGCTAGTTGTTGCATACAAGTTTGTTCATCGTAATTTTATTCTTCACTATGTTTCTCGATATTTCTTTCCACTTACTTAGGTACACTTCAGTTGACTGACTATTACGCCATGTATTTATTTACCAATTAATTACAGAAAAATCAGTGGGTGATTGACCCAAACCTGGCTCTTTTCACTATGAAATAAACCTATAACTTAGTGTGAGAATCTTGACATGGTCTATGAGCTGCACTAATTTCTTTTTGTTTTGTAAATTTTAGATTCTGACAAATTAGAAATAGTTTCACCGCCTACTGTTACAAACACAAATAAAGATCCAAATACAAATGTGTAAGTGATACTTTTTCTCCCATATATCACATTTATTGTTCTCTTATATCAAAATAATTACTTGGAAGAAGCACAAATGGTGTACACTTCTTTTTGTAGGTGAATTGTTTGTCAATATTGATTGTTACTGTAATCACCATCGGTCACGTTCCCAACAATCAGTTTCCGTGGTACTTGAATCATGTTAGAAAATTTCAATAATGGATTTTAATTCGAACTAGAAACGACCAGGATTGAGGAAATCTAAATTTGCCATAATTGTATGTTATATATTAGTGACCCATTATCTGACTCCACTTAAATCGTATTATAATTGTTACAATCATAATGGAACGATCCGCCAAATAGATCAATGAGTAGAGTTAACACGAGGACAAAGTACCGATAAGATAACTCGATGTGAGCATGCCCATATCGCTTTTGTACTGCCTCCGATAAATGTGTCGGATTAGAGATTGAGTCGTGTGAGTTGCTCGTCGATTAAGTCGGCCGCTTAGTTCGTCTATCAAACTCTTAGAGTTTGAGATGTTCACCGTCTACGTAGATTAGCAGGGTGCGTTTAGTTCGAAGTCAGACTCACCACTCTAGTTTTCCTGGGATATCTGACTCATTAGCTCACTCGCCTTCGCCATTGCGCGTCATTTTGTTTTGCTTCGCTTTCCGATCAACGATTGTACAAAATATACTTATTCAAAAATCCATTCTCGTATTTGATTTATTTAATTCCGTTATTCACTAATGCGAGTTAAGTCGATAATTATATACGAGGATTGGCGACATGTATATTCCGACAACGATAGTCACATGATCAAATTGGAGTCGGATATTCTAGGGTCACTAAAATATTGCCATATTATAAGCAGAAAAATATAGTAATCTAATATTTAAGCATTAGTATAATTGAACTAGGTACGCATTACTTTTTGCATCATAAGTTTATACTTAGTAACAATAGCTTAATTCTTTCTAGTATATATAAGTGAATCAGCGGCTAAGAAGTAATTTTTAGAAGAAAATTGTTTCAAATACCTTGTTTATTGACTTCACTAGACAGTTCATGAGTATTGAATTATGGATCGGGGTAAAACTATACTAAACCGACGACTTCAAGATGAACTTTAAAGTAACCAATAAAAATGGCCAATTGGAACGTGTCTTTCGTGTAAATGTAGAATAATGATAAAACCAAAGTGGTCTAGTAGTTTTAACATCATTAATAAACTTTTGCTAAATATCGATCATAATTATGTATTCAATCCAGACCATAATTCCTACTCCTTTATCTTTTAGAACCTAACTACTAACTCTAAGACCCCTCGACTATAGTTTCTAATCATAGAACTCCTGAATCCTAACTCTTAACCCTAATATACCTAACCTTAACACTCTTTCCCCCAACATATTGACCTTAACAGTCTATTTCACAAGGAAGCCATCATCTATTCCTTTAGAAATAAGAAATAAGATGAAAATCATGAGCTCCACCAACAAGTTATCCGCAACAATGTTTTACATTCACACACTAGCTAGCTTACTTTTGATTGATCGTTTAATGTCGTCGGCATGGTATAGTTTTACTTGAACCGATCGTGATCTTACAGGGTTTTTTTTCATTAGATAATATATACTAAATAAAGTATGGTTTAAATTTTCAACTTAAACATAAGGTGCATGAAGATGCTTGATAGTATAGTTTTCTGATGGATTAATAACATGTTAGTTAAAAGGAAGAACTGTGTAAAATAGTCGTTGTATATAAGAATTCTACTATGGAAACAACCTTATTTATGTTTAGATATGTTTATCTTACAGACAGACTTCAATTACACATACAGTACATGTTCATGGAAAACTAAGGTTAAATAATAAAAGATAATTAGAAATATAAACAAATTATAAAATATAAAGCTATAAGTAGCGTAATATTAACACCCATAACCTCGAAAATATAACACGGAACTAGGAAAAATTATGAATGCCCTGGTATAGGCGAGAGCGGGGTGGGTTCGCCCTCCCTCTTGAAATACTCTCACACGGCCACGCGTATACAGCCTCTGCCAGAGAAGTCCTACTCACTGTCTTCTCGTGGCAGGGTTGTTGTTCACAAAAATGAGAGGACGAAAAGCGAATGTCCGGCGCTTTAACCGGATTCCAAACCAATGGTGCACATTAGCTCTAGTATCCTGCGGGAACAAATGGCGTATGAACCAATCGTTATTCACCGGCTTCCATGGGACTGTATCTCCTCACGATGCTCCACTGCCCTGTGGATCAGACCTTTAGGTCGAAGGTTCGGGGAGTGGCCCCCTAAGAAAACCACCTGCTTCGGTTTGGGCACCCGGGCAGTATCTCAGCCCGCAAACAAAAACATGATAAACTATCTACTTATGAAAAATATTCCTCCCGCTCCAAATAACAATCAAGTTTCTCTGGGATTGTCTATTGAAGAAGGGTGTGCCTGAGAAGTTTATTAACATCTTAAAGGCCCTATAATACAAACACCTCGGGCAGAGTGAGGGCATACAACCACCTCTCTCCATTGTTCCATTCGAGCAGTGGGGTTAGACAGGGTTGCCAAATCTCACCATTCCTCTTCAACTTCGCCATCGATGACATTCTGAAAACAGCTCTGATGGTTGTAAGTAGTGGCAGTGTGGATCTGTTGCCTGGAGAAAGACTTCTCGACCTTGAGTATGCGGATGATATTGTCTTACTGTGCGATAATGCTCAAGGCATGCAATCCGCACTTAATCAGTTGGCAATCAGTGTCCGTAGGTATGGTATGTGCTTTGTACGTTCGAAGTGCAAAGTATTTCTACAAGACTGACAGGATTCTGATCCTGTACTCACCCTGGATGGTGAGCGGATAGTAGTCGAGAAGTTCGTGTATATAGGTAGCTGCATAAGTGCTGGTGGGGATGTGTGTGATGAGATCAATGCACGAATAGTGAAAGCCAGAGCGGCTTATGCCAATCTGGGCCATCTTTGGCACCTTCGTGATGTTAATTTGGCTGTAAAAGGTCGGATCTACAACGCGCCGGTGAGAGCGGTTTTGCTCTATGCTTGTGAAACCTGGTCTCTCCGAGTTGAGGATGTTAGACGACTCTCTGTGTTTGACCATCGTTGTCTCCGAAGAATTGCTGACATCCAGTGGCAGTACCATGTCAGTAATGCAGAGGTTCGGCATCGTGTGTTCGGGCACAGAGATGATAATCCAATTGGTGTCACCATCTTGAAACACCGACTTCGGTGGCTTGGACATGTTCTACGAATGTCGTCCCAGAGAATCCCACGTCGTGCATTATTTGCCGATGCTGAGACTGGTTGGGAAAAGCGGAGTTGGTCAGTGTATGACATGGTGTCGTGGTATGAAAGAAAGCTGCAGAGGTCTGGCTTGTGTTGGTCCTTCACGACTCCGTGGTTGGGGTCCGAGAGATGGTGCAATACAGTGGCTAGAGACGTTATCAGATATGGCTTAGAGTAGAAGCCAGTGGCGATCCTGCTGTAACCTTCTTTTACTTTCTTCATAAAAAAAGTTGTTGTGTCTTCCTGAACTGAAAGATTTCTTCTGATTGTACCTTTCTGTTCCCCCATTTTTACCATTATTATTACACCACCTTACATCAATCTCTTCGCTATAATTCCCTTTTTTTCCTTCCCCTTAAATTCCCATTGTTTTGTGTGGCGCGTATATATTCCGCGCGCTCTTGTACCAATATGTTTGTGTTCAAATAAATAAATAAATAAACGAACGAAACGTAGATCATGAAATAGATACTTTTTCTTAACAAACTACTGGACTCTTGTAATTCAATTGATGATCACTAAATACAGACTTATTTAATCCAGTTTGAGAAACACAGTTTCTGAGACGGCAATTGATAATACTTGGCTGCACAATCTGAAGTAGGCGGATGCGTGTTCCAACGTGAAATCTAGAGGTTGGAACTCGAATAACTTAACCACCACCACTCAGACGTGATATATACATATATATACCTTTAATAATAAATCAATTGATATCTTTTCAGGAAGGAAAAGCTTGGTAAATCTTGTCGTAAGGTCCCTCTTTTGGTCACTTTTTTCTGAAACTAGTCGAATGTTTAGTTATCTTATTTTATAATTTAAAACTTGCTGTAACGTGTGGACTGCAGGTTTTGGTAAGCAGCGTTTTATTGATCGATTCAGTGGCAGTGACACGTAAACACGCAAGGATGGCCTAGGGTTTTGATTGGCCCTGCTTCGCTGTCTATCCCAGCCAGTTGAGTCCAGAACGCAAGTCACAGCCTCTGAGATATGAATGATTATATTTCAGACATACTCTATTTATATACCAATCAACCAGACCACATCGTACCATAAAATAGAAAACAACATTTGTACAATATTTAACAAGTGAAATAAACATCGAGCAATAGGAAATGTATATTTAAGGTCCAAGGCCACCATAGACTTAACACGATAATTATTGGTATATTTTTCCAACTATCATAACAAAACTAAAGGAATTTAAAAGTGTTATAGGTCATCAGTCAGTCAGCCAGTCAGTCAGTAACAACGTAGAACTTCGTACGTACGTACATCAGTTCGAGTTGCCACACCACATTAGCACAGAGATGCAGTTGTCGATTCAAATCCCGTAGTGGTAGAGGTAGCAAGAGTATAAGCAGTAATCGGGAAGATTAGGGTTTGGAGATGTTATTTAAAGAGTATAATCCAGTGGAATAAATTTGGAAAGAGGAAGAAAGAAAGGGACATGAAGAAATCAGATTAGAATTTGGGAGTACACAGAGAGTGGATGCACCTGCGCTATTGCAAACGATTTTGAGCCATGTCATTCAGGGTCTCTAACCATCGGTTGCTATCATCTCGCAGTCCCCAACCAGGTAGTCTACGCCTACCAACATGACTCAGTTCACTTGTCAGTGACTTCATGGAATTGTGCCATGTTTTGGTTTGGCCTCCCCTAGCTTTCTTCCAACCTACTCCTATACCACTGA